ATGTGGCTCGTGCGATTCGCACAGCAATGCTCCTTGAAGACGATGAATTCGATGTGTTCAATGTTTGCACTGGTACAAAAACGACAATCGGGTCGGTGGCGCAGCGAATTGTTGAAAAGTTTGGGTCTTCGGCTGCAATCGTAAATGTGCCGTTCCGCTCCGGCGACGTTAAGGAATCCGTGTGCTCACCTGTAAAGGCAGCGAACAAGCTCGGTTTCACAGCATCATACGACTTTTCAGACGGAATCGGTGAGACGCGCGACTGGTTTCTTTCTTCATAGGCGCAAATAATCTAAAGCCTCAACAACACCTTGTGAGTGCAATGTGTCTGGTCGTAAGTTTCAGTGCCCATGGAAATGTTCAGCAAAATGCTGTGCGCAGAGAAATGCAGTACTGACTTGAATTTCGTTACGACGGGTTTTCGAGTGAGATAAATGAGCAAGAAATTGTGGATAAAAAAAAGGCAATTCAGTGCCACAGAAACTTGCAGCTTATTACATAACGCTAAAAATAGCAGTATCCTTAGATTCACTTGAAAATCCAGACAACCTTAGCGATCAGATATATGTTTATTGAGACAAAAGGAGATATTACTCCTGTCCGACATCAATTATGAAAATCGAAGCCAATGCTACGACGCATCGCCTATGTTCAATTTGACGACGATACCGTGACGACCTTACTCCCTTCACAATAACTTCAATCCGTGTGAACTTCATCACGAATCTCAAATCTGACTCGCGGAGATGGTGACTAACAAATTTTTTGTAGCCCTAGATATCAACATGATGTCATGGTGAGCAAAATATGACTGAAACTACTTTTTTTAGTTATCCAATTCGTGTTATCAGTATACTTTTTACTTCTGAAAGTGTCGGCGACGCTCATTGGTTGCTAATAAATGAAAGCAGCTACGCATGCCTCGGCGAAGCGGCAATAGCTCGGTGCATTTATCTACTGGGGATATGATTAGTTATCTGATGACAATTATACTGGGTGTGCTCATTGAGAGAGCTTTGTTCACCATCTCCTGATTTTTTCTCACCTGAATAGTTTCGGTCAAATGCCAGAATTATTAGTTTCGCGACCATTGGTCAAAATAAGCGTAAAACCAACATATGCAAGCTATTTCAACCAATTTTCCATCTGAGCACTTAGCAGACCATGACCGACAGGTAAAAAATGCTTGAGGACTGTCAGTTTCATCGATGTGGCAGCGACACTGTACTGGAAAATTACTACCACCTACCCCTACTGATTATTGTATATCGTGGCTGCGCTCAAATAATGAGCAAAGAAGAGACGTTCTCGACGAAAACGCTGGCTTCTGTACTGTACGGCCGTACAATAGCACCACATCAGTCGGCCATATTCTCCACCGCCACCAAGCTCTACCCTAACTTCTATCCTTTAAATGTACGATGTAACATATTGTCCCCTAAAACTCGGGTGTTATTACTTAGCTTGCTAATCTGTGCAGTGTTTTCTTCAAAGACGACAACAAGGCCGTTGCGTCTCGATATATCGACGCTTTCCGATATTTAAGGACACTTAAGAACAAAATGCTGTCCAATACGCGACCAGACTCGCTTCCTACTCAGTCAGGTGCCTTTATTTCGGTGATTAGCTGCTCTATCATCACTCTCTCTTTCCTCTGGAAGCGGAAATGGCGACGCTATCCAAATCCACTCATTTATTGGAAGGCCGTTGTCGACTTGCTTTACGCACTGCGCTTTCAATTTAGTTGGGATGGATACACGAATCCGCTGGGTTGCCGAGCACTCGCAACGCTCACACAATTTTGTATCTTCTCGTCCGAGTGCTGGTTTCTTTGCATGTCGTACAATTTGTATCAATGCTCTACTAATCCCTTCACGAATCTTAAGCACAATTTGAAATGGTACCACAGCTTCTCGTGGAGTGTGGGGATGCTATTTGCTGCACTCTTGTGGCTTTCAAGTGTTGAATTTGATCCGAAAGTTCATCCGGCTTGTTTTGTCGATGAGACTGTCGCTAATGAGCTCATTGTCTATTATGTTGTCGTCATTCTTGCTGTGCTGTGCGCAGTGATTTTTGCAGTACTGGAAACGCAAACTCATCCATTCAAAGGCATGAAAGAGGCATTAAAGGCAAAAAAAGACGTTATTCGTAGTGCAAGAATATTCACCGTGGCCTACATCATTTACCAAATCATCCTCATCTCGTTTTGGGCTGCCGATGTCCTATTTTTTAGCAACCACCCGCGCGCTCTCCATTTAGTGCGTGATGCGTCATCATTCTTCCATGCGGCAAAGGGCTTAATTGACTTGGTCATTTGGGTCGCCATTAATGGTTCTCCGCACGTGGATTGTCGTTCTGGCCGATTGGGCAACACATTTGACAGTGACCGATATAGCGACGTGGACATCGACCTCCAGCCTCAGCTAAATGTCGCGCTGAGAAAGGAAGTGCTTCACTTCACGACGAGAGGCATTGTAGCAGCCTCATCAAACACGCCGATGGTAACAAGCAATCGACGTGTGGTGCATCTTCGGTTGCATGAGCTTGGTATGACCGTGTGCTTCGATGACTACAGTCCGTCCTCATTTCGCGATATTCGGCAAGGGTTCGGCATCAACGAAATTCTGTACAGAAAAGCATTTTTGGCTACGTGTCATGAAAGACTTCAATCTGGCGGATCTAGTGGTGCATTCATGTTCTACACAGCAGACTATGCCTTTCTCGTGAAAACCGTGACGACTAGCGAACGCAACGTTTTGCTGAATATGCTGCCGGCATATATTCGGCACATGAAGGAAAATCCAGAATCGCACCTGACGCGGTTTTACGGGTGCCATTCCATCGAAATGTACGGTCAGGTATTTAATTTCGTAGTGATGGGAAACGTAATTGGACGAACGAGTATGCATCAGTTTTTCGATATTAAGGGATCTTGGATTGATCGCAATGCTACGGTAAGCCTGCGTGCAAATTGTTTGTTTGGGTTACCGCTTACTAGACCGTCCGATTCTACCCATCTTGCAGGCTCTTCCTCCGGGAAAAACTGTCATCTGCACATACTGCAGTCATGCTTTTCGGTATGGTACCAACGAGAGCTGCGAATACAGCATCCGTGGTATTCACCTGCCACACATTGTGCTGAAAGATAACGACTTTCATCGAAAATTGCGCGTGGAGTCAGATATAGGTGAGCAAATTGTAATAAAATACTTGCGGTATGAATTTATCACTCATATGTCTACATGTTTTACAGCTGAGGCTCTCGTATGTCAGCTAGAAAATGATAGCAATTTTTTGCGAGAACAAGGTATTATGGACTACAGTTTACTTTTGAGTGTGCACAACACGAAGTATGTTGTGGAGCACTGTAGCATGGATACCAGGAATCCGTCTCCAACGAAACGTAAAGTAAACTACCCAGTATGTCATCCTGAAAGCAATGATTCCTTTTTGTCGCTTGTGACGGACAGCGCAGATCAGACGGATGCATCTACAGACGAGGATTTGGATGAAGTGGAATGTGGGAATCGAAGAAAGTTTAATCGGAACTGCCGGTATTCTGTTGTAGGTCAGTACGAGGGTTGTAGCATCACCATACAGAACAACTCACCGCTTTTAGGTCGAACTATGCGTCGATGCAACTCCGTGTTGTATGGAGCAACTGCAGAAACATCCCGCTCAGATGACAAGCTTAAGTGGATCGGCAAAAGAACACTTGAAAAACGTGGGTACCAGGCTTGCGTAGTAGCTGGTCCAGATTTTTACACGTTAGGAGTGGTGGATATGCTGCAAACATGGACATGGACCAAGCGTTTAGAACGTTTGTGGAAGACGATCATTTTGCGCCATGATGGAATGGGAATTTCGGCTGCTCCACCCAAATTGTACGCTGAGCGCTTTCAACGAAAAATGCGCGACATCTTAATGGTGCCATCGGTGTCAGTAACATGTGATCCAAACTAAACGATTATCCGATTGTTATATAGACCATATATATTTTGTTAAGATTAACTGTAAGGCCAATGATAAGCTGTGTGTGACACTATGATACGGTGACCATCATGTCATATTCTTGAAGCTTTTGGAGGGCCTGGAAAGCCGAGCGAGTAATCAGATTAGAATTTATTTTCCCCGATTGGTCGGGCTCTGACAGTGCCAGTATCGATCGCAATTGACGGTCGGTGATTGCGGGAAAAGCGCTTCGAATTGCTTTTGGTACATGATCACGAATGAGCATACCGTGGTCACCTCCATCATCCGCTTGAAAAGCGCTCGAAAGTGCTTGCTCGAAAGTATGCTGGTTCATATTGAGCACTGTGTAGTATTCGCTCGTCGTTCGATACCTCTGAAGAAACGCAGAACAGGAGTGGTAACTCTCGACATTAGTAAGCGCTAGCACCATTCCCGAGATTCGGGAAGCAAAGGTTTGGTATTCGATCAGACCCGTGTCGTCTTCCTGAGCCTCAGCCATTACAGCAATAATTTGTAGTCTCGTCAGTCCCACATCGGCGGTACGAAAAAGTCGAGCGATCTCTGCAGTCGACAAACGACCGGTGCCTTCGCCATCCTCGCTCGCGAAGACTTCTGTGAGATATTGAGCAATCCAGTCTGGATCGCTGAGTTCGTCAAGAATGCCATGATTGTAGGTTTCTTCTAACACCGAAAAGCAAATGGGTACAAAATCTGGATAAACGATCATGTTTGTATCTTCCTCCGCCGCTGGTGCTTCAGACATCAGAATGTTCACCTCTTTGCGAGTAAAACCAAGGTCTGCGTCTCGAATTGCGTCCATAAATGCCGATCGAGTAAGTGCCCCAATTTCTTTCTCATCTGCACGCTGGAAAATCTCTCGTAAAATACTTTCCATTTCGTCTTGCAACATACCGTGAAAAAAACTTCCCGAATCACGCTTAGTTATCGAAAGTGTACGTGCCGATCTTCGCGTATAATTTAGACGAAGCTGTAACAGCGCCTGGATGGCTAATGGTATAAAATCTGAAATAAAAAAGTTATATCGTCAAGATAAACGACTTAAAATTGTGTAGAGACCGCTACCGGCACAGTTAATGACACCTCCCTCGCTTTCATCTGCCTCAGCATATAGTGTTTTTAATTCAATGGAAGACATTTGTAATTGCTCACCAACTTGATCCAGCACCTAGATTGATGAGTATAAGCAGATGTCTACAGGCCGCATAATATCCTCTGTACCTGCTTAAATTCTTCATAGGCTACGAAGCCTCCGTGTTGTTGCTGAACTTCATCAAACGCAGCGATTATCAGGCCTTTGATCGTCTCTTCATCCGATTTGATGAGTGCCGGTGTCAAAGCGCTCAAGACGGAATCGTCAAATTCTCTCTTCTCATTTTGGTTCGCTATGAGATCTTTAAAATACTGCGATCCAAAAGCGTAAATGGCTTCTTTTGTCTCCACCTTCCCTTGCTGCCGCAGTACCTCACGAGTAAAGTCACGCAGGATAACAGGAAATTCAGCGGGAATTTCCATCGGTTTCGCGTACTTGGACGCCATAATCTCGAAAAGACCCTTTTCGGTCCCTAGATAAGTGATTCATGTATGACTAAGTTGATAGACATTTAATCGTTTGACTATTAAAAATAGAAAAATACATCCGCTTCAGTGCAAGTAATTCCTCAAAGCATCGGCACTTAAAAAACTGCATTTGTATTGGAATTTGCTGTTTTTCTCATCTCGAGTTGTCGGCGCAAGTATGATCCTATTTTTCGGTGGAGCACTTCGATTCTATTCGAAATTTTTGGCCAATAGGTTGCTGGACGTCTATTTTACAAACTCAATAGAAGCGGACGAGATTCGGCGCTAGCACCGGGACGAGATTGAGGAAAAGCGACGTTGTCCTTAATCCTTCTATTTAAGACGTTTCATTCATTTTATAGAGCTCGTGACATTCGCTATTATAGATTGATCATGTCTGCATTTTTTTATTCGAATTCTGGAGATAACTGGGTGAATTCCTACGATGAAGCGCGAAATTGTAGTGAAACAGTGCGCACTTTTTTAAACCCCCATCGGCAATCATATCAACTTTTGTACTCCATACTGTGTCTGTGTGTTGGTTGGATTGATAGCGATGTCCTTAAAACGGCAAAGTGTAGTGTGAGCAGATTGATCGCCAATATGCTACGTTGGTGCCCGTTTTAATCAAGATTCGATGTGTAAGTTGATGTATCGATTCTAACAACAGCAAATCGGTGCGGTCCAGGCAAATAAAGGGATATTATATCAGAACCGGGGAACGAACTTTTTAGTTCATCATCGAACTTGGCAAATTTCTGTCCATCACTTCCTTTCGTAAGGTTTCTGACAGTAGTGTATGTCTAGAAAATTTTCCCAATTAATTTTTTTAACTTATAAATGGCACGAAAGTCGGGACAATCCTTATAATTAAATAAAAATTTCTCTTCCTCATTCATCTAAGTCTTTAATCTTTGCGCTAATTCGATTACTGTTACCAGTCGAAGCAGGCTCCGTTCGATAAATGGCCGCATTCACTGCCAAGCCTCTATCGGCTACTTTGCTCAAAGCGAGAGGAACTACCGCCCCGGAAGAAAATTTAGTTCCTACTCCCCTTGATGGATTAAGGCTGTGGCTAGGTGGCAAATTGAGCTCAATTTCTTCATCAGAATCTTCTACTGTCCATGCTGATATTGGAGTAAGCACCTAAAAATAAGACGATATAGTCAGTAAATTGCAAATTCTATCGCAGATGTGCCTTACCAGTTCGCTGTAGCGACCGTCACCACCCGAATGTCTTGTTTTAAGAAGAACAATAATTCCCAAAATGGTGACGCACCCGCCGACAGTAAAAATGAGCAATTGTGTTCTAGTCATGCTCACATACTCTTCAAAGTACATGATACCACCCAGCACACTCGTGAGAATCCAGAAGCTCTGATATACTGGAATGACAACGAGTGCATCAAAGCGTGCTAGGCCACCATTAAGAAAATGGACCTGAAACCCAAGACAAGTGCCCATCCCAGCGACAATTGCGTACGAGGTGATCTGGGTAAACATGTAGAAACCAGCGTCACCCCAGATCGCACTTTTCAGGAGCTCGACTGTCGATTTTGCAAGCAGCACAGATTGACCTCCAAATGTTCCTGCAATTCCGCCATAACAAATAATATGGAACAGTCCTTCCTCAAAATTGTGCGTACGCTCAATGTAGCGACAAAACGTGAAGAGTCCTCCGAGAAAACACCCAATCAGCGTAATATAAGCATACATGGCTGGTTGCTGATACAGGTGGATCAGATCATTTAGCTCATAGGATGGGGTACTATGCCCAGCAAAGATTACTGTTAGTGTCACTCCAATGAAGATGATTGCGGTGGCAATCAGGTTCTGTCGCGTAACTTTCTCCTTGTGAAAGATCGGAGCAATGAGCATATTCCATACCAATGACAATGCTGCGAGTGGAGCCAATAGCGTCTGTGGTGCCATACCAAAAGCTACAAAGTCTAATAGTGATCCAAGACAAACAAGGCCAAAGCCAAGCATCCACAATGGCTGCTTAAACGTTGTCTTTTTTGTCTTCGCAGTGTCATTTCGCGACATCGACAACTTCTGTAGATTGATACCCACTGAGTTGAGCACAGAGAATACAAGTGAAATGAGAAAACCCGCAACCCACATGCCCATAGCGGGGCCACTGTAGCCGACTTTAAAGCACTTGTTGCTCTTTTTCTCCACCTCTGTTTCATCAAATGTAGAGCACATGTTACTGAGACCAGGACACTGTGTATATACCGTAGTCTGGCATGAAGCCAAGCAAACTTTTGTAACATCTCGACCAACTTCACACACGGGAAAGTGTGCGGCGCACTCCATGCGACTAAGAAACGTTCCACACGCGCTACTGCTGTTTGTAAGGTCCAGCGTCTTGACGACATCGGTAAGCTTCTTTTGACTAAAATTGTGGTATTGTGGCAGTGTAGCAAGCCGAGACGTATTAGTGTTAACGTTGCTCCAGGACTGAAAAGACAATAGAGCAGCTTCGTCAAGTTCAGTATAAGATAAATCGCCCCCACAGACAGCAAAGGATACGTAAGAACAGAATTCGAGACCCGATGGTGTCCCACATGTACTTGAGCACTCGTCAGCAGTACCAAATGCAAGCAAAATCGCCGCACATATCAGTGATAGCCCACGCTCCATAATCAATAAAAACGGACGAGCACTTCTGAAATGGACATTGATTGCCTTGGTCGTCTCAAAAATAGACGACGGAATATATATCATAACCAACGACGTTAGTATAAACTTAAACCTTTTTTATCCCCTATATATAATCAGATATTTTGTCAGAGTTGTGACTTGCACTTGCTTTTGAAAAGGACTATCCAGCACGTTGTTTTTTATTGAAGTCGAGTAGATGAAAGTGAAGGTTATGAGAGACTCTTGATTGGCGCTGCATTACAACTTCACTTAGTCGGTGCTTTCACTGCAGTTGAAAAACGATTAATTATCCTAATTTTCTTTTAAATGCACATTAGATATGATTAGGAACGACATCCCTTCTAAGGAGTCGTGTAAGCCATGTCAAGCACGTGCTGTAGGGTTTTATTCATTACACTCTAACCCCTCTCTGCCCGGCCAGGGGATTGAACCCTGGACCTCCTGGTCCTGAGGTGAACAGCATACCACTGCACCACAGGATCGGTTTTTATGCTCATTAGAGCGAGAGTAATATACATCCTTTATGATTATGTATATTGTCATGTCAACCTATGCAGTCATCATCAATTCTACATTTGTGAGCCAATTGATTTGGTTGTTGATCTTTTTTTTCGAGATTGTCTCTAGCTCATTAAGTAATCTGCCTACTTTTGGCACAGCACAACGGATGATGGCTTGATAGACCATTTGCTCGTTGGTCCTAATATGTACCCTTTCTGGGACATGCTTTTGTGCCTCCATAAATGAATAAAGCCGTTACATGTTCTTTGTCCAAATTTTCTGTCAAGCATCCATGGGGAACACTGGAAGCAGCGCCAGAGATCGCTTGAGAGAGTGGAAAGGTCCATTCAGTGATGTGGTAAGGCCTTACGGGTACTGCAATCAGCAGCAACTAATCTGTAACACGTGTGCATGTGAATGCAGGAGTATGAGTGTCTACAGAATAAATATAGAGAGACCATAGCAACGGCGCCATCGAATGATGCTTCAGTAGCAAACTTACAGGTGTCACGAGTGCAAATAACACATTAAAACTTACATTAACAAGGATTTGCCGTTGTAAGATCTGGTTGGAGCTACCGCTTCCTGCTGGGGTGCCGAAGGAGTTAATTGCGTCGTATCATCGCCTTGGCACTGCCTTTTATCAGTTGTGTTTGCAGACGAAAGGAGGTCAAGATGCTCCTGCCTGTTGTGATCTGCAGATAATAGATTTTGCTCAAGGAGGTAATTGCGATGAAAATAGACTTCTGACACGGTTGGTTCAAAACTGACTATTGGTTGCATTCTGTTGGTAGTGGCGCAATGTGTGCGAGCTTCATCACAGGCGATCTGTCGGGCATTATTTAATCTATTTGGACCAAGTCCACAAGCTACCGCCATGACGGAGAAAGAACTATTCCACTTACTGTTTGCCTGTTTGGTTATGGCTGAAGGTCGTGAAGTAGACGACGTAAATCAAATGATGCTTGTGGCGATGACTCTTGCTCGTGCAGCGATGCCGCCATCAAGACAGTCGGATCGAGTATCTTTTATCGAGTTTGTTCAATGGACCGAACTACAACTTCCATTACTTTACACAGTCTTCACAACATGGATTGCTCAAAAGTGTTTTGAGTCTCTTACTAAGCCGTCATATGAAGCCCCTCGATTGTCTCCAAAAAGCGAGATTTTGTCCAGGTGACGAATTTGTGCGTTGCTGGAAAATTTTTGGGCTTACTCATTTGTTAATTCTCGCAGATCGCACTTCGTGGCATTGTCTATGGTGACCACGTCACTTCAAAGAACTCTAAACCGACTGTACACAAGCACACAAGATGGATTGAGCTTCAATCGGTTAAGCTATCACATTTTAGGCTACTCTGGGCCAACTCTGACGGTCATTCGGGACGTTCAAGGCGGTACGATCAAAATGAGCTGCAGCTTTTTGTTTCTGCTTCTGTCACTCATAAAGCTGGGCAATAGCCGTGTTTGGCATGTTTTGTGATACTGAATGGAAGGAATCAAGTCGATACTATGGAGGCAACGGTTGCTTTCTTTTCCGACTAGCGCCAGATATTAACATTTGCCGAGTATCTGCGAGCGGGATTAATGAAAACTATATGTATCTTAATTCCAAGGGTTATGCGCTACCGCGTGGACTTGGCATGGGAGGTTCGACGGACAAATTTCGACTTTTTCTTAGCGAAGATTTGGATGAGCAGAGTTACACAATTGCGAAGTGTTTGTCTTTTGAACCAGGTCGCTTGTCGTTTAATGAACATTTTGTGATCGATGTTATGGAGGTGTGGGGCTGTGGTGGAGACGAGAGTGAACACAACCAGGAAAAGCACCGTCTTGAGACGGCTGAGCTTATTAATCGCGCGCGGAAAGTCGACAAGGCTCAATTTATTGATAATGATTTTGACAAAGAGACATTTTTGGGCAAAACATTTGGTCACGGAACGGATAAGGGTCGCATTGCTGACGATGAGCAGTAAAAAACAGCAGTGACTGATAAATAAAGCATATACGTGCAGTGATTTTATCATACCGAAGCGGTTGTTTAGAAGTTCAAACTTGCGCAATTAATTAGTAAGTTATTAACAGCTGGCAGCGCTACTCGTCCATTTCGGCGTCTTCATTATCATTTTCTTCAGCATCAACATCATCGTCATCGTTGTCATCTTCCATATCCTCTTCATCGTCATCGACCCCGTCGTCGTCATCCTCCTCATCTTCGTCCCCTTCCTCGCCCAGATCATCATTTTCATCTTCGCCATTTACGTTTTGATCGTAATGGCATCGACGTGGACCATCCAAAACATTACAGTTCTCTTCATCGTGAAAGTCACCACGGAATGTATTACAAACTCGTAATTTTCCTTGTTTAGTCCCATAGAGGAAACCACCGCCGCAAATTGGACTGAACAAAGCAATATTTACATCGTCCATTGCACTTTCTACATGCGACAGTAATGCCATATCTTCCCAGCGATAAATACGCGTAACACGATGAACTGGAAACTCTGTCTCGCTAGAAATTAAATTCAGGATTGTAAGTTTAACTGGATTGAAAGTAAAAACAGATTGCTTTCACATTTTACCGTTGTATGCGATCTCGTACACCATAGCCAAGTAGTACATAAGCTGAGGTTGGCGAAATTTTTACCGATGTCACGCCTCCTGCTGCTGTCTCTGCTAAGTGGCAGGTCTGTACAACACGGCCAAGCTGTTCAGGATCCAAGGATATTAAGGCCAGCCACGTTGACTGGTTCTCTGACGACAATCGTCCTCGACGATTCCGTTGATTTCTCGTGAACCGTGTCCGACTGAGCGCAATGTTTGGTCGAATTTGTGAATATCGATGTTGAGGGACTGCAGCTGGAGTCACTGTGCTACGTGCAGGTTCAATGCTTGCTGTATATCGCTGGATGCTATGCGGTGGATGTAGCCGCGGTCTCACTCGTCGTATCTGCTGGTTCATGTACTGATCCATTGTAAGCGATAAGTCTGCAGCTGCTGATTGCAGAGCAGCAAGCATGTTTGGAGCACCCGTGTGCATGCCAGAAATGGACACTAATCGTGGAGGTGGTGAGTGAATTGGAAGAGACAACGGCATTGATGTCGATAGACCGATGCCGGATCTTCTTGTGATTGCTGCTGATGAAGAACTACTTTCATTGAGAGAAATAGCTTGTGGGTTAGATACGGATACGTCATTCACGTCGTCGCTCGGGCTTGCGGAGCCACCCTGTTCCTGTGTTGCTGGTACGGCGGATAAGATACTTTCCAAATCCGTAGCGGCCTCATTTTCTGCTTCCATTTCCACCTCTTTTTCAGCTTGCCGCAAAGAGAAATCAGCACATATTGCCAGGTATCGCCCGCAACGAGAGATGTCGAAGCCACCGTCATTATAGATAAGAGCGTGGGAAAGAATCACGCGGCTATTATTCATTGCCTTTTTCGTCAGTAGTGGCTCTGGCGAGAGCGCCCACGACGGATCAAAATCCCACATTGTTAGTGTCACAGTGAGATCCGAAGGCGGAGCTTGCCCTTGTGGTCTCTGCTTAACGGAATGAGGGAAAGCGATATTTGTTAGTAATTGAATCATACCACAAGGGTATTCAGTTGATTCGACCATTATGCACGCACCACGTAGCGCTCATTCGCTTCTCCAACCATAATCTTGGTCGGGTCCGGCAAGAAAGTGACAGAGCGTAGTGTTTGGTAGCTAAACATTGCAATTCGCGGGCATGTGTGCTGCAATCACATGTCAACAGTGTAACATTGTTATGCGCAAAGTCATTGCATGTCGTTCTGCTAGGTTAGCCAACCTGATAGTCCCATGTGTATACACATGTTCCGCTAGCGATCGCCAAAATGTCTCCCGATGGGTGAAAAGAGATTGAAATGATTGCGTGACGAAGCGTCGAAACGTAGAGACACCGGCCAGTCTCAATATCCCAAAATCTGCGTACAACGAAATCAGCTGATGCTCGCTTTGTTCAATTCTAATTACAGGATTAACAATGTCGTGACGCACCGAACTTGAAAACCTAGACAACCGGAAGCTACATAGCGCGGATTTGTTGGGTGGAATTTCACACTCCAAGGAGTTCGTGGATGACCCACTAACGTCTTCATAGTCAGGATAACTCGTGAGTTTTTTTATAACGCAAATTACGTTCTGTCAGTGATGTTAACATATCAATCTACCTGAATGACGTTTCCCGTTTCAAAGCAGATAATCTTCACTGTATGGTCTCCATGGGTCGAGGCAAACGTCTTTCTGCACAAATTCACCATAAACAAAGACAACGTAGTAAGACTCTGATTGGTCATTGCATGCTACTTCGGCTCGTTCATGTACGCACCCGTCAGGACTAATAGCGATGGAGATCGTTGACTTGGTCGTCTGTGGCAGCTCAAAATAACGACTCTGGTGCTGTTTTGAAAGATAAACAAAGAGGAGCATGCAAATTAGATCATCAGTGATGTGCAACTTTTGTTCGCACTGCAACATTTTAAACCTTAGCGGCACTCTCGCTTTCAGCCCAGAATTTTTCTTCTCTATCGTCACCAATGGCACGCACAGTCTGATGGCGTCTGGAACCGCCAAACTCGCGACGGAGTAGCACACTGGCAACATTTTGCTGGTTTTTGGCGTGCCTGAATGAGTTCGGCACACCAGGAGGCTTCATATCGGCGGCAGCTCGCTGCCAAACTTTAGAATCCATCGAAAACAGGGGGTGTTTTAGCAGTCTTGATTAGAAGAGCTTGCAGTCGTTATATTGCTGTATTAATCGAGCCGATACGCGGTAGATAGACAGCCAAGCGTTATTTTAAAGGTAATATGACAGAAAGCTTGCGAATTCCCTTGGCGAATAGAACTAGTGTTGTTCCGGACTGGTTAGCGGCCTCTTTTTTCTGTTTGTATTGTGGGAAAAATTGACTGCTGTCACATGACAGTAATAGGGTCCGCCGTCATATGGTGACGCGAACTGTGTATTCGATACACTTTTGCAAGAGAGAACCGCTATCAAACCTGGTAAAATGAAATTCGTTTGGTCGGCACACACTAGAACGAAGGCGCAACACCATATCTCAATAGCGCAGTCGATGCACCTACGTTAAGTTGTTTATGTAACTACTCTAAATGGAATTTGTTTGTATACTCGGTCACATTTTAAAAATCATGGTATTGAAGGAGAGCAGTGTATGCCGTTTCGCTAGAATTTCGGACGAACTACGTTCCCAGGGCTTACTTGACATCTTGTACAATATAAACAAACTTTTCACTCGAGTGATATTACAATTTTGTGTGTTCTCACGGCCTCTTTTTCATAAAGCATTTCTTGGGTCAAAAATCTAAATTGGTGAGTTCTCCAAGGAGAATTTCACACGCGCATTACCATTGCGATGTCAAATACTGCACAATTAGCACATGTCACTGAAATTTTTAATCGACGTGCGTAGTCGCTGACGTACTCTTTCTATGATGAACATTTCCAGAGAGGAAATGTGAATCTTCTTATTCAGCCATCCATCAATACATCATATCTGATAGAAAATTATCATTCCAATCTTGTCATACGGCTATGTTGGTGAGGGAAGCCTGCAATACAAACGATGTTCTGTAGCACGTACGTAATTCTGTGTTGTAAAGTGAACGAAAGTCAATTCAAACGTGCCTTATTTCTGTAAAAAAAAGCACTACGCCGCGCGAAGAAGAACGCGTCGACGACATTTCTCTACCTCCTTAGCTTGTGCGAGAGAAAGCGACTATTGCAAAGCGATTTATACACGGAGTCAATGTGTTACATGTGTCGTCGGGGACATTTCTGAAAAATTGTGCCTACATATTTGACCTTCTCATACGACTTTGCCCGGCCGTCGACCATCAGTATTCCAATAGTTATAATCTAACCTGACACTTTATCTGCTAAACACAGCTTCACCAATATCAGCCCTTTAATTGCGACTTTTTTGTCGATTGTACATAATATGTCGAAATTAGTCATCGCAAAGTTTGAACCTGTGGGTGGGTTTATTGGACTGGTGGTGAAGTTATGACGATCGTCTTTTTGTTTCCTACAAAAAATAATAAGAGACCCGAGTCGACGATGATGAAATCAGCGAGCGCATCGAAAAATTGAAAGTCTAAACAGTTTTCCTCAGACAGCATTTTCACCGATTTTTCGACATTCACGCTCACAGCCAAGCACAAAGATTGGGGCTTTCAAATGCTAGAAAAGGATATCCAGTGACTCCTTACCCATTGTAGGAGTTCTGCATAAAGTTTGTTTGGTGGTGTACCACAATAAACACAGAAGTACTATAATTTTAATTATATGAATTTCTATCTTTACATTTGTTGACCAAATTGTCCGTCCGCACAGCTCACTTCCCTTTCTGGATACTGGAATCCTCAAGGCTGAAATGGCGGACAAACGGCCAATGCGCCGTGAAGGTGAAAGAGTATGGTGCCCAGATCCACGCAATGTGTGGCAATTAGGCACGATAGTGGAGGATGATGGCGAAAAACTGCACGTGCTTCTTCCTGACGCCGACTCGGAGCAGCAATTTCGCGTCGAGCAGATCCATCCGTATGATCCGACACATTCAGTCGACCTGACCAACGTAGCAGAAATGGACAATTTGCATGAAGCACCGCTGCTGGATCTTCTGCGACGTCGCTACCTCGAGGACAAGATTTATACTTACACGGGCGACATTCTCATCTCAATCAACCCATACAAGAATATTCCCATGCTGTACAATTTCCCTGAGCTTGAGTCCATTGGCAAACTTGATAATCCTGTGCCCCACGTGTACTCTACAGCTCACGGAGCTTATCACGCCATGATGATGGACGACAAATGTCAATCTATTCTCGTATCTGGCGAAAGTGGCGCTGGGAAGACAGAGGCCTCCAAATACATTATGCGGGTACGAATATTACCGATCTGCATGAACATAATCTAATATATTTTTATCAGTATTTGGCCAACATATCAGAAATTGGAAAGAAGATTCCAAAAGTGGACAACGACGGATCTTCAGTGGAACAATGTGTGTTACAAAGTAACCCACTTCTGGAAGCATTCGGTAATGCCAAGACTATTCGCAATGACAATAGTAGTCGATTTGGCAAGTTTATCAAAATATTTTATGATGTGAATGGTATCATTTCGGGTGCCACGACAAGTCACTTTTTGCTGGAAAAAAGCCGTATCGTCGGAAGCGCAGAATCAGAGCGCAACTATCATATTTTCTACCAACTTTGTGCAGGATTGCCCTCAAATGATAAGATTCTATTCAAGCTGAAGCCTGCAAACGAGTTTGTATTCCTAAATCAAGGAAACTGTATCCACGTGCCAGAAATCAACGACAAAAAAGATTTTAAGGAGCTGGTGGAAGCTATGGGTACGGTTGGGATACCACCGGAATTGCAGCGTACCATTTTTCGTCTCGTCGCCTGTGTGATGCATTTGGGCAACGTCGAATTTTCAGAAAATGCCAAGAACGAATCTCAGATTGCTAATCCAGAAGACGTAACAAATTTAGCCGAGTTGATGATGGTTACGCCAGATGAGCTCGAGTTCGCGCTCACAAAACGAACTATGTCCGCAGGTGCACGTGGTTCAGTGGCAGAAATCGCATTGACGGCTATTGAGTCTGTCAAGTCCCGTAATGGTCTAGCAAAGGATATTTTCAGCAAGATCTTTGACTGGCTGGTATATCAAATAAATAAGTCGACGTCTAATGTCGGTGGTAGCGCTGCTGTTGGTGCGAGTTCCAAGTTCATTGGCATCCTGGATATTTTTGGCTTTGAGAGCTTGCAAGTAAATTCGTTTGAGCAGCTTTGCATCAATTACACAAACGAAATGTTGCAGCAACAATTCAACCAACACGTGTTTGTGTATGAACAGGAGGTTTATAATGAAGAAGGCATCGACTTTTCTCGTCTAGAGTTTAAAGACAATGGACCTTGTCTTGATCTGATTGATAAAAAACCCCTAGGTATTCTCCCTCTTTTGGATGAACAAGGAATGCTCGGACGGCGAGCGAGTGATGAAAATTTTATCCAAAAACTGCACCAAACGCATTTGGCGAAAGGCAAAATTCCTGAAGGTTCTACAGTCTACTACTCGAAGCCACGATTTGCAACAGACGAGTTTGTGATCAATCACTACGCAGGTGAAGTGACGTACAATGTGAATGGTTTTTTGGAAAAAAACGACGATTCTCTACACAATGATTTGATCTCTCTTATGGATAACTCAAAGTGCACATTTTTACGTGCGTTGTATCCGATTGCTCAGGCGGTTGCAGTGTCGGCAGGTGCCAACCCACGCAAGCCTATCCGAAAAATGGGCAATAAGATGACGGGCACGATGACTGTCGGACGAAAGTTTCGAGATCAAATGGCTAACTTAATGCTGGAACTGAAGGCTACAGCGCCATCATTCGTGCGCTGTGTAAAGCCCAACAACCTGCGCTTTCCTCAGGGCTGGAACGCATCGCTTATCCTTAACCAACTTATTTACCTTGGCGTCATGGAGACTGTGCGAATTCGACGGTCGGGATTTCCTGTGCGGCGACATTTTGAAGAATTTTACGAAAAATATCAAATTTTGACCCGTAATGTTTCGAAGGAGCAACGTGCACAGATGACCAACAAGGACTACTGTGAGGTCATTCTTCGCTTCATTCCCCGTGAAAATTGGCAACTTGGTTACAAGAAGGTGTTTTTGCGAGACAGTCAATTGCGCATTTTGGATAATGAAGCGCGCAAGATCACGCACGAGGCTGCAACTGTCATCCAGAAGCACGTTCGTGGGTGTCAGCAACTCCGAAAGTATTTAGATATGCGCGCGAAAGCAATACTGATTCAATCTGTCATGCGAATGTTCCTGGCAAAGCGTCACTACCAGTTAATGCGTCACCGTATCACACTTCTGAATGCTTTGGCAAAGCAGTTTATTCAGCGTCGTACATACCAGCGGCTGCTCAGATCAACAATTCTCGTGCAAAGTCACGTCCGGGGCAATGCTGCCCGTAAGTATGCACTCTATCTTCGCAAAGGCCCTCCGGCTGCAACAAAGATCCAAGCCCAAGTCCGATGCTACTTGGGTCGCAAGCGCTTTCTTAAGCTAAAGCATGCCGCGGCAAAGGTTGCTAACGCGCGCAAGATGCACAAGCAGCGGGCTGAATTTCTCAAATTGCGGATTGCGGCGAATGTGGTTGCTTCTCGATACAAGTGCTGCGCTGCTCGCAAGAAGTATCGCGCAATGCAAAAAGCAGCGATTGTGTTACATGCTGTGGGTCGTGGCTACATTGCTCGCCTTAAGTATGGGAAGACGGCTCGTCTCCGTGCTGTCGCCCGCAATAAAGCACAAATACAAATCTCTCGAGTGACACGCGGCTTTCTCGCGCGATGTCACTACCGATTGAGTC